AGGACTTGGCACTTCAGTTCCTACGTATCAGGCTTGACAATGGAGCTACGACTATGTTTTGGCATGACCCTTGGACAACTTTGGGGCAGCTGATCACGTTCACTGGAGAAACGGGGTCTCGCTGCTTCAGAATCCCATCCACTGCGAAGCTACGAAATGCTATTAGAGATGGAGAATGGGCTCTGCCAAATGCACGATCAGATGCGCAACAAGCTTCCTCATCCTGCTATCCACCATCTCGCCGCCGACAGATAATGATGAGGAGGACCAGCCGCTTTGGAAATATGCTACGGATGATTACCGAGATTATTTTCTTACAAACAAGACCTGAGATCTCATCAGACAGCATGACTTTATGGTTTCTTGGCATTCCATTGTGTGGTTTGCCAATGCTATTCCTCGTTATACTTTCCTCACTTGGCAGGTTATGCTGGCTCGGCTGCCCACTAAAGACCGGCTATTTCGATGGGGAGTGGTATCGGAGACTCTCTGCGTGTTGTGTGAATCGGCTGAGGAGACACACGCCTATTTGTTTTTCCACTGTGATGTTAGCACCCAAATATGGATCTTTTATGCAGGAGTCTGCCAACAGCAACCTCCTTTATCCATTGTCCAATACACAGAGTGGGTGAACAATGCAACTCGGGTAAACGGTCGGAGCACCAAACGCATCCTGAAATTTCTATTACAGGTTACGGTGTATGAGATCTGAAAAGAACGGAACCACCGCATCTTCCGTGGAAAACGGAGAACGATTGAGCACATCCGTTGGAAGGTTGATGTGAAGGGTAATACCCGGAACGATAGAGAGTCTTTGCTTGTTGATTGATATTACTTGACGCGAAAAATTCGACATTGATTATGCGGGTAGTTTTATTGAGTGTTTTTACCATTTCTGGATGGGTTTCATGATCTTTTGTTTGTAAACAAAAACTACGTTGTTATTGTTATTTTTTGATATATAATACAAATCACCTCATTACCAAAAAAGAAAAAAAGTGTAACTCGTAACGTAGATTAGGTGTTGACACCTTAGGCCAACACATCTCAAGTGATCGATTCTATTATCTTTAACAGACTGGAAGCATGTAAACCGGCGTGGTAGAGTGGGTTTCTTAACCGGGGGAATGTAAACCGGAGGGTAGTATAGTATTATTCATCTGTGGTAACGACGGCGAGAGAGAGAGGAGCAGTCTTTTCTTTTGGTTCGAGTTCTCTTTGATTGGGTGATGAAAGGAGTTTGTGGGTATGTTTTTTTTTTCTAGAAGTATATTTTCGGAAATTACAAATGTAATTATTGTCTTTTTATTATTATCATGGATGTCGAATCCAGAGGATATAATGCACGATCCATAAACACATGTTCCTCACTACTAAGTTTTCGATGAAGCATATACGTATTTTTTGTTAACTTATGTATATATACGTATGGCTAAATACGTTGGGCCCATATGGATCATGTCATGATTTATATAATCATGAATACAATCTCAGTTGGGGGTGGCTCTAATCTTAGGCTTTGCACACGTAATAATAGGACACCAATGTGATGCGGTTCTCTCATGTCCATGTATGTGCAATTTTTATTTACTTTGGAATATCGATGAGTCAAAATAGCTTTTTATGCCATTCAAAAACCTTGCAAGTCTTGTTAGTTACAGCCTTAAAATTATTTTGGACGAAGAAAATCGCTTGAATAAGACAAAAAAAAAATATTTTTCTTAGGAGGGAGAAACGGCGCGATGTGTAGCACTCTGCAAGAGAGACGCCACGACGTCTAACTCATAGGTGGTCAAAATCACATTCGCGTATTGAATGGACAATAAAATTTTGTTTTGCTAGTAAATGTGTGTGCATAATAATGTTCATAAATTATGGACATGTATGTTTAAATTCTACAAAACGTTATGCCATATTCTAAAGTCGGTCCATCAAAATTTTTATCAAATGTTAATTTTGTCGCCCACGAGTTGCCATATTCGATGTGCGATTCTATTTCTTTGATTTGCCAAGTGGGCGTAGGCTCAAGCAGCTATTGCAGTGTCAATGTAAAATTTTAAAATATTCATAATCACTGTGTTGATATCATGCTGGCACTCAGTAAAAATGCACCTTCCGTGTGTAAAAATCAATTTATTTATATGCAAATTGTAAATTTTTATATATTTACATACGAAAATAAGCATTTATATATTTACTTGAACTCTTTTTTAATGTGGTTTATATAGAATTCTCTCTTTATTTTTCAGTATTTGTCCAACACCATTCGTGTTCTCGAGATTGTCACATGCGAAAAGCATCAATAATAATTTTGTATAAGTAACCAACATTCCAAACAAATAAAAGAACGTTATGGATTTTATTTTTAACAATCGTGGGCTATTGTTAAAAAAAAAAACAGTATTGGTTGCTATAATTAATCAAATCAAATTCACTTAAAATGGAATCGACGTTGATTTTTCACAATGTCAATGTCCAAATTAAACTTATTTTAACAAAATTTAAAATCGCCGACATGAAGGAAAGAAAGGATAAGAACAATTATAATTATATAATTAAAATTAAAAGGTAATTAATAAGGCAAAGACGAGGAAAGTTCATGAGGTAAGCCGCTTCTGACCACCCACGAAGAGAAGAAGCTCATATATAAAGTCTCTCTCTCTCTCTCCCTCCCTCCCAGGACTCAGTCGTCTCTTTTTATTCTAGAGTTTCATCGTCTTCGTCTTCGCGTTAAACCCTAAACCCTTCAAAACCCTTTTGCTTAGTTATAAGAGAAAACCTACTCGGTTAAGAATCCCATCGCCCTTTTCAGAATGTGTGGAGGTGCCATCATCTCTGATTTCATCATCCGCAACCGCGGCCGAGATGTCTCCGCCGCCGACATCTGGCCGAATTCCTCCTCTGCTAAGATAGTCGGCGGCGAGTTCGAGTTCGAGTCCGATCCGAGTCAACTCGGACGCGGTGGCTCCTTCTCCCTCAAGAGGAATCGACCGGTCTCAGGTATTCGTATGTCTCGTCGTTTTCGGACAATTTTGTTTCTGGTTTGGGTGTTACTGATTGGGGGAATGTACGGACGAACAGGTGAAGGAGAGGAGGCGGCGGGGAGACCAAAGAGGCAGAGGAAGAATTTGTACAGAGGGATAAGGCAGAGGCCATGGGGGAAATGGGCCGCAGAGATTCGAGACCCGAGAAAAGGTGTGCGTGTTTGGCTCGGAACCTTCAACACCGCCGAAGAAGCTGCTCGAGCCTACGACCGGGAAGCCATTAAAATCCGTGGAAAGAAGGCCAAAGTCAATTTCCCCAACGAAGACATCCATTTCTCTCTCCCCGCCACCATGAACCGCCGGAAAAACGACCCTCCTTGTCATCTGAATCCATCCCCAAACCCGCACCTTACCCCTCCATTTGCCGATTTGAGTAACACCAGTTTCGGGTTCGGTAACGGTCTGAACCCCTTCCCTATCCCCGACGGATCCAACCCGATCCAGAATCTTGGCGCGGTGCGTTCTGATTCTGTCGCGGAGGAGAATTCTGGGTCGAGTTCGGTATTGGAGCCTGCGAACTCGTATTCACCGACGGCGATCAATGGCGTCGAGACGAAGGCTAAAGAGGAGGAAAACGAAGTGCAGAGGTTGTCGGAGGAGCTGATGGCGTTCGAGGACTACATGAAATTCTATCAGATTCCGTACCTTGATGGCCAATCATCGATGGCCACGTACGCCGCCACGCAAGTGAGTGTGGTCGGAAATCTCTGGAACTTCGAGGAAGCCGCCGCCGTGGCCGCGTCCCCCGTCGATTCGGGCTCCGCTTAATTGTGGCTTTTCATTTGATTTGGTTACATTTCTTTTTCAAGTTATTAAATATTGCATTTTGGGCGTGTAAATTTTGTCCATCGGTCATGTAATTGTTATTAATATTTAATTAAAAAAAGATACAAATTCAGGGTTTTGTTACCTATTTTCTCGGGTCTTTGGAAGATATGCCAATTTTTTCACTTTGAATTCTTGTTAAATCACAATGACTCCGGAAAAATGGACAAAATTTTAGAATTGCTTTCAAATCATTACAAGTAAAAAAAAAAACTTCAAATGACGTGTATTTTTTTGAACTATTTATAATATTCAAGTAAAAAATTTTAATTAGAAGGGAAGAAAAGTTTGTGTATTTTAATAGAAAAATTTGAAATTCGCGTCATCGTGTATTTATTTGGAATAATTTATGATTATTGAGGGGTAACTTCCTGTTTCATCTTTTCATCTATTACCAATACAAATTGAATTCCACATTTATAAGAAATTTGTAAATGAAATATTAATATATATATATATTCACACAGTTGTAAGCTTTCAAAGGATGTTTTTTGAGTAAACTGCGGCAGGGGACGCGGCGTAGGGAAGATACTGCGGCGGCGGGATCTGTTCTGTGGGCGCCTTCGCTTTGACGGCGCTCGAGACATATATATGTATATATATGGTATATATGTATGCATATATATATATATGTATATATTTATATATATACATGTTATATATATTTATGTTTGTGTATATATATAAATATATTTTTTATTTTTTATTTGTTTTATATTATTATAATTATTTTTTATGTATATATTTTAATTTTTAATTTTTTATGTTTTATTTTTATATTATTATAATTTTTTTATTTAATTATAGTTATTTTTATATATCTATATAAATTTTATCTGCAGATAATTTGAAGAAAAATCGAAATCTATAATTTATATTTATTTTAAAATTTTGAAAATTTAGTATTAATTTAATAATTGTTTCGAGATTTTCTTTTAAAAATAATCTACTGATGGGCTACTTATCCACGTTTGCTGCTAAAAAGTAAAAATCGTTAAGGCCAATTAAAAACGCAATGTAAATTTTTATGGCCCAATAATAAGCCCCATCAGGGCCCAAGTTTGCGGCGTGGAGAATCAGAAACCCTAGGGCCGAAACCTGCAAGGCATATATAATCTGTAGCCTTTTTGGTCGTCGTTTTCCCTTGGCGGCTGCTCACTAGTTGAAAGGAAGGAGCAAAGATGGTGTCGCTGAAGCTCCAGAAGCGTCTCGCCGCAAGCGTGCTCAAGTGTGGGAAAGGGAAAGTTTGGCTCGATCCTAATGAGGGCAGCGAAATCTCCATGGCGAATTCCCGTACGTTCTTCTCTACAACTCGTTCTACGCATTTCTGTTCGATTTTGATCCTTTTTCTTCCTCCTTGCGATGATCGTTCTGGTTATTGTTTGTCTGATGAATCTGATGTCTGTTAGGAATCTTCTTTGTGTTGGTATAGCTGGGATGCATTTTGAAATTCATTCTGATACACTTTCGCTATCTTAAACTTGAGCTTAAGCTCTGCATAGTAGTTATTGCTACTTGGCGTATACGTCGGTACCTGTTTGGCGCTAGGCTTATCGGGTTTTGGATGATTCGGTGTCATGTCTGTATATAGATTTGAATAAATGCTGAATTGGTTTTGTTTTTGTGGCTCGATTTAAGATGTAGGTAATGGTCCTTGTTTGGAGAATGATTTTCAATTATGATAATTTTAGATGTTATCTTTTGTTCCCGTCACTGTCTGTCAGAAATGGATTTCATTACCGTTATGTTGCAGGCCAGAACATCAGGAAACTTGTCAAGGATGGTTTCATCATCAGGAAGCCGACAAAGATCCACTCTCGATCTCGGGCACGCCGCATGAAGGAGGCCAAAAGAAAAGGGCGTCACTCGGGATACGGTAACGCTTACCTGCTTTGTTCCGAGTTATTTAGTCATATTAGACCCTGAAACTAGGTGGATGTTATACTCTAGTTTCTTGGCTAGATGGAGAGCTTTAACCTCGTTTGTGTAGGTAAACGAAAGGGTACGAGGGAGGCGAGGCTCCCAACCAAGATTTTGTGGATGAGGAGGATGCGTGTTCTGAGACGTTTGCTCCGAAAGTACAGAGAGGCAAAGAAGATTGACAAGCACATGTATCATGACATGTACATGAAGGTGAAGGGTAATGTCTTCAAGAACAAGCGTGTTCTGATGGAGAGTATCCACAAATCTAAGGCCGAGAAGGCGAGAGAGAAGACTTTGTCTGACCAGTTTGAGGCCAAGAGGGCGAAAAACAAGGCTAGCAGAGAGAGGAAGATTGCCCGGCGGGAGGAGCGCCTTGCTATGGTACGGCCACCCCTTCTCTGATCCGACCAAACCATCCGTACCTTGACTATTGATCAAACTTCCTTTGCAAAACATCTTTTAACATTGCATGGCTTTGCTTTGTTTTCTATTAGGGTCCAGCAGGAGACAAGGCTATGGCTGCAGCTCAAGCAGCTGCTGCCCAAACAACAGAGTAAGTTCATTTAATCCGGTGTTAGTTGAGATTGATTGTACGGATTTCAGTTGTGTTTGTAAAAACCTTGTGTTGTTCCTGGGATTTGCAGACCATCGAAGAAGTCCAAGAAGTGAAGAGAGTTTCTCGTGTCCTGATATCCCTCCTTTTTTTGCTGCTGTTTCCTAATTTTTTTTGTCTTGCTGTTGTTTCGTTGGTTGATCTTCCTAATCTAAGTTTTAGTTGTTCGTGGAGTGTTTCTTGAAAACTCAGTTTAGTTATATATAAACTTTTACGTTAAAACGTTTCAAATCCTGTCGCAGCCCTTTGACTTCATTGGATGGTGAACCTATCCTTGCCCCTTTTGTTGGCGTATTGTACAATGTATGTAAACGGGTCGATCGTTGTAAACTTATATTCACCTGAAAACACTTATTAAGGTATAATATTCGGATTGTCCAATCATGGTGACAATACAACCCTTGTCCTGTCAATCGGATTAGTTATTTACAACAACAACAAAACCATAAGTTGCGTAAAAACACTACCAGTCCCAAGGTTCCGAGTGCTTCCCGTTTCATTTGCGTATGAGCTCACTTACTCACCGTACCGTTACGTAGTTAAATAAGGTCTTTTCCAGACGGAGGTTTCGTAAAAGAAGTCTCTGTATATCTCAGATCACCAGTTCAACTGCCTGCTCTGAGATTTGACGGCCAGGCGGAGTGCGGGTGAATTGGTCGGAGGAGCGTTGCATACTCCGAGCCTGATGATGAAGGAAGTCGTGCATCCTTTCTCCAGCCCCTCGCTCTCTATCCATATGTGTCCTCCCATTAGCCCCGCGAATCTGGAAATAAAGGATAACACCCTCCTTTTATCCCAACATACGATCATGTTTGGTTTGTTGTACTGATGATATTATTATTTAAGAAAAGGAGTCTCACCGCTTGCAGAGGGCGAGTCCCAGCCCTCCACCAGCTTGGTTTCTGTGTGATCCTGTATGTGGCTGCACAAACTTTGTGAACAGATAGGGTATATCTTGCGGGTGTATACCACACCCTGTATCCTTCACCTGTCAAAGAAACCATTTTTCATATCTTCAGTTTCTATGACGATGACGTTGATGATGATGGTGCATGTATATGTAATATAAATATGTGTGGTGGCTACACCTGTACGCATAAATAGAAGTGGTTGTCACTTGGGACTGGATAGAATTCTGGGGATTGCCAATCTCTCAAGGACTCCGGTTTCAAGATAGAAGCTACGATGGAGACATATCCATCCTTGGTGAATTTCACGGCGTTTCCCATTATATTAAGAATTGTTTGCATCAGGCGTTTCTCATCTCCAACTGCATAAACTGGTAAGTCGGCCGACAGAATCAAATTTGTTGAAAGTTTCTTCACTGACGCGATGGGCTTTATTAGAGAGATTACCTGTGAAATACAACATGTCCGGGTTATTCATTCTTACGGCTATATGATAAGACACAGACACACAAAACATTACCGTCTCGTGGTAAGCATGGTATTGTCATGTGCATATATATATGGGAAAGGGTTGATTTCGTTACCTCTCCAAAGACCCCCTGGAGATTGAATGGTTCATTTTCCAAAACTAAGCTCCCGTCTTCTAGTCTGGAAAGATCCAGAACGTCACTGATGAGAGTGGCCACAAGGTTGCTATTTTTCAGTATTGTCTCGATCATGACTCTTTGCTCTGGGGACAGCTCAGTCTCCATGAGAAGTGACGACAGCGAGATAATGGCATGCATTGGAGTCCTCATCTCGTGATTCATGACAGCTAGGAAATCATTCCGAGCATGTACAGCCATCTCCGCCTCTTGACGAGCCTTATCTAAAGCAAAATTTTGCTCCATTAGCTGGTCCCGAGCGTGCATTGATTCCTCCAGAATTGCAGCATGTGAGAGAGCCACAGCCACCTGTATATAGAGAGGAAATGGGTGATTAAGAGTTGAAGTATATTTTAGAGGAAAGATTTAAACACAAAGAAATGTCAAGTGAAATCCAGAAAAAAAAAAAAAGAGGCTAAAATGCAACTTGGTGTTAACGGGAGGAGTCTTGTGTGAAAACATGAACGGACCTGATCTGCCACGACTTCAACAAGGTCCAATTCATGATCTCGCCATTTTCTAACACCATCTGCGGGGAGAATCAGGACCATGACAGCATAACCTTTTCCAGAGAGATCAGACCAATCACTGACTTGGAAATTTGAGAGATGCAAAAGAGGTACACGAACAGCAACAACCTCCGGTGGAGTGTATCTCCCAATAAGAGGTCCAATTTTAGCCAAAGGACACGTATGAGGTATATGCATTGCCTGAGCGCTATTAAAAAGTTCGTTGATTATCGGAAGACTTATAGGAACACTGGCCCCTACTTGTATTTTGTAGTTCAACGTGTGGGAAAGCTGCATATTCAGACCACTTTGAGACGGCATCCATAATGCACATTCCTCCAGGTCAAGAGTTCTACCGAGCTCGATAAGTGTGATTGATTGTACGGATTTCAGTTGTGTTTGTAAAAACCTTGTGTTGTTCCTGGGATTTGCAGACCATCGAAGAAGTCCAAGAAGTGAAGAGAGTTTCTCGTGTCCTGATATCCCTCCTTTTTTTGCTGCTGTTTCCTAATTTTTTTTGTCTTGCTGTTGTTTCGTTGGTTGATCTTCCTAATCTAAGTTTTAGTTGTTCGTGGAGTGTTTCTTGAAAACTCAGTTTAGTTATATATAAACTTTTACGTTAAAACGTTTCAAATCCTGTCGCAGCCCTTTGACTTCATTGGATGGTGAACCTATCCTTGCCCCTTTTGTTGGCGTATTGTACAATGTATGTAAACGGGTCGATCGTTGTAAACTTATATTCACCTGAAAACACTTATTAAGGTATAATATTCGGATTGTCCAATCATGGTGACAATACAACCCTTGTCCTGTCAATCGGATTAGTTATTTACAACAACAACAAAACCATAAGTTGCGTAAAAACACTACCAGTCCCAAGGTTCCGAGTGCTTCCCGTTTCATTTGCGTATGAGCTCACTTACTCACCGTACCGTTACGTAGTTAAATAAGGTCTTTTCCAGACGGAGGTTTCGTAAAAGAAGTCTCTGTATATCTCAGATCACCAGTTCAACTGCCTGCTCTGAGATTTGACGGCCAGGCGGAGTGCGGGTGAATTGGTCGGAGGAGCGTTGCATACTCCGAGCCTGATGATGAAGGAAGTCGTGCATCCTTTCTCCAGCCCCTCGCTCTCTATCCATATGTGTCCTCCCATTAGCCCCGCGAATCTGGAAATAAAGGATAACACCCTCCTTTTATCCCAACATACGATCATGTTTGGTTTGTTGTACTGATGATATTATTATTTAAGAAAAGGAGTCTCACCGCTTGCAGAGGGCGAGTCCCAGCCCTCCACCAGCTTGGTTTCTGTGTGATCCTGTATGTGGCTGCACAAACTTTGTGAACAGATAGGGTATATCTTGCGGGTGTATACCACACCCTGTATCCTTCACCTGTCAAAGAAACCATTTTTCATATCTTCAGTTTCTATGACGATGACGTTGATGATGATGGTGCATGTATATGTAATATAAATATGTGTGGTGGCTACACCTGTACGCATAAATAGAAGTGGTTGTCACTTGGGACTGGATAGAATTCTGGGGATTGCCAATCTCTCAAGGACTCCGGTTTCAAGATAGAAGCTACGATGGAGACATATCCATCCTTGGTGAATTTCACGGCGTTTCCCATTATATTAAGAATTGTTTGCATCAGGCGTTTCTCATCTCCAACTGCATAAACTGGTAAGTCGGCCGACAGAATCAAATTTGTTGAAAGTTTCTTCACTGACGCGATGGGCTTTATTAGAGAGATTACCTGTGAAATACAACATGTCCGGGTTATTCATTCTTACGGCTATATGATAAGACACAGACACACAAAACATTACCGTCTCGTGGTAAGCATGGTATTGTCATGTGCATATATATATGGGAAAGGGTTGATTTCGTTACCTCTCCAAAGACCCCCTGGAGATTGAATGGTTCATTTTCCAAAACTAAGCTCCCGTCTTCTAGTCTGGAAAGATCCAGAACGTCACTGATGAGAGTGGCCACAAGGTTGCTATTTTTCAGTATTGTCTCGATCATGACTCTTTGCTCTGGGGACAGCTCAGTCTCCATGAGAAGTGACGACAGCGAGATAATGGCATGCATTGGAGTCCTCATCTCGTGATTCATGACAGCTAGGAAATCATTCCGAGCATGTACAGCCATCTCCGCCTCTTGACGAGCCTTATCTAAAGCAAAATTTTGCTCCATTAGCTGGTCCCGAGCGTGCATTGATTCCTCCAGAATTGCAGCATGTGAGAGAGCCACAGCCACCTGTATATAGAGAGGAAATGGGTGATTAAGAGTTGAAGTATATTTTAGAGGAAAGATTTAAACACAAAGAAATGTCAAGTGAAATCCAGAAAAAAAAAAAAAGAGGCTAAAATGCAACTTGGTGTTAACGGGAGGAGTCTTGTGTGAAAACATGAACGGACCTGATCTGCCACGACTTCAACAAGGTCCAATTCATGATCTCGCCATTTTCTAACACCATCTGCGGGGAGAATCAGGACCATGACAGCATAACCTTTTCCAGAGAGATCAGACCAATCACTGACTTGGAAATTTGAGAGATGCGGGCCCAAGTTTGCGGCGTGGAGAATCAGAAACCCTAGGGCCGAAACCTGCAAGGCATATATAATCTGTAGCCTTTTTGGTCGTCGTTTTCCCTTGGCGGCTGCTCACTAGTTGAAAGGAAGGAGCAAAGATGGTGTCGCTGAAGCTCCAGAAGCGTCTCGCCGCAAGCGTGCTCAAGTGTGGGAAAGGGAAAGTTTGGCTCGATCCTAATGAGGGCAGCGAAATCTCCATGGCGAATTCCCGTACGTTCTTCTCTACAACTCGTTCTACGCATTTCTGTTCGATTTTGATCCTTTTTCTTCCTCCTTGCGATGATCGTTCTGGTTATTGTTTGTCTGATGAATCTGATGTCTGTTAGGAATCTTCTTTGTGTTGATATAGCTGGGATGCATTTTGAAATTTATTCTGATACACTTTCGCTATCTTAAACTTGAGCTTAAGCTCTGCATAGTAGTTATTGCTACTTGGCGTATACGTCGGTACCTGCTTGGCGCTAGGCTTATCGGGTTTTGGATGATTCGGTGTCATGTATGTATATAGATTTGAATAAATGCTGAATTGGTTTCATTGTTTTTGTGGCTCGATTTAAGATGTAGGTAATGGTCCTTGTTTGGAGAATGATTTTCAATTATGATAATTTTAGATGTTATCTTTTGTTCCCGTCACTGTCTGTCAGAAATGGATTTCATTACCGTTATGTTGCAGGCCAGAACATCAGGAAACTTGTCAAGGATGGTTTCATCATCAGGAAGCCGACAAAGATCCACTCTCGATCTCGGGCACGCCGCATGAAGGAGGCCAAAAGAAAAGGGCGTCACTCGGGATACGGTAACGCTTACCTGCTTTGTTCCGAGTTATTTAGTCATATTAGACCCTGAAACTAGGTGGATGTTATACTCTAGTTTCTTGGCTAGATGGAGAGCTTTAACCTCGTTTGTGTAGGTAAACGAAAGGGTACGAGGGAGGCGAGGCTCCCAACCAAGATTTTGTGGATGAGGAGGATGCGTGTTCTGAGACGTTTGCTCCGAAAGTACAGAGAGGCAAAGAAGATTGACAAGCACATGTATCATGACATGTACATGAAGGTGAAGGGTAATGTCTTCAAGAACAAGCGTGTTCTGATGGAGAGTATCCACAAATCTAAGGCCGAGAAGGCGAGAGAGAAGACTTTGTCTGACCAGTTTGAGGCCAAGAGGGCAAAGAACAAGGCGAGCCGAGAGAGGAAGATGGCTAGGCGGGAAGAACGCCTTGCTCAGGTTAGGACAAACCATTCGCCCTGAATCTATCTAAGATTTATTGATAGAGCTTTGACGAGCAAATATCCTTATAAATGACATCAACCCTTTATTTTGGGAAATCTTCTATGATTTTCGTGTATAGGGTCCTGGAGGAGGCAAGGCTGCAGCTGCTGCTACTGCTGCTACCCAAACAACAGAGTGAGTAACATTTGATACTGGTCGATACTGATTTCGATTCTGTTTCTGAGTTGTAACCATTTTAAAAAAAAAATTCTGGGGTTTGCAGGCAATCAAAGAAGTCGAAGAAGTGAAATGTTCTCTGATTTTGTTGCTGTTTCTTTTTGTCGATTTCGTGTTCCTTGGATCCCAGTTTATTTATAATATAAACCTTTTACGTGAAAACGTTTCTGTCTGTGATACATCCGCTGTTGCCTTTGTCCGCATCTGTTGTGGATCTTGAGCGCCTCTTTGTCCGCATCAGTTGTAGGTTATAAGTTGAAGAACCGTCTTCTGGTTTATATGATTTGTTTTAGAGGTGGATGTTTTGGATTTTAGCTCGATCGAGTTTGATTCACGATTTTATTTTTTGAAAAACGGTATATCAAATTAGAACTAGAATTTGATATTCACTTGTACATTTGTTTATAAGATGAATAATTCGTGTTTTAAATTAGTATTCGGTTTATTTGGTTTTATATGAATTATTTTAAATTTGAACCTAATATTATTTTCTTCAGTTTGATTTCGGTTTGGATCAGTTAGAAACTAAATTTCTGAATTGAAGCATATACCGGTCTTTTACCAATGTGTAGTGTGCACCATTTTACAAGTTCAAAAAATTTAATGTGTAAAATTTCAAAAATTTTAATGTGTTTTACCCATTTTGTAAATATTATTATACAATTTGTAATTGAGCTATCGGACAAAACTGAAAATCATCACGAATCACATATCAATGTCGGTCAAAGTGTCTGACTATAAACGTCGTCATGTTTTTATAATATTTTCATATTTATTTTTGTACACCACACGCCCATTAAGGCGCGTAACCGTCACGCAACTATTAAATCTGTGTGAGAAGAGAGTAGGGATGTTAAAATGAGTTGACTGGTGGTGACTCATGAGGTAATCTTTTTTTTTGATTTGGGTTAAAACATTTTGAGTTCGAAAAAAAAAGAGAATCGAACTGGTTCGCCATAAACTCGGCTCATGGCGATCCAGTTCAGTGAATCCACACATTCATTCACGATTCAGAAAAAAATTATTTTTATTTTTAAAATTTTAAATAATTTTAAAAAGGATTTATCAAATATAAATATTTGTATTATTTTAAAATATAATAATTATTATTTTTAATTATTTTTATAGTATTTTTATTATATTTAATATTTTATTTTATTTTTAAGTTTTTTGCATCGCGAATTCGAACGATGTGTTCCGAACTGTTTCGACCTGAATAAAAACGGATTTAACGAACTGGGTTGAAAATGAATTGGTTCAAAACGAGATGGTCCGATCTGGTCCGAGGTGACTGGTTTGATATCGAAGAGAGCACAACAAATTCGATTTCTTTTGTAGTTTGAAATTTTTTCAGTCTATAGTAGATGGATTAAAATTATTTAATTTACAATCTACAATCTATACCGTTAAAAAAACGGTATTTATACATAATTAAAGACATAAATGTAAGAAGAGGAACATAGCATGTGTAGTTTTTCAAGACTTGTTTAGACGATCCAATTCCTTTATACAGTAATATTGCTGACAGAAATGGGTAAAAGAAGAAGAAGAAGAAAAAGAAGCAACCACTAATCATTTACTATTTATTATTCCATTTGGTTGAAACTTCCGTCTGGATCCAAAGCTTTTCAACCTCCCTCGCCTCACTCTTCTTCTGATGGTCGATGGAGGATGAGCTGTCATGTTGCTTTAGTCACATGAGGTCCAGCTGTTGGACGATCACGGCGGATGAGAGGAAGAATAATGTGATAATGTCATCTCTGAAGAAAAAAAAAATGAACAATGAGTGCAGTATCCCTTTATCATGAAACAAAACACTTCTCTTTTACCACAACCAATGAACTTTAACTAACAGGATTCTTCAACTAAGATAAATATGGTTTCTTCTGAAATGAATCGGAACATCTCTAATACACTTTTCGTCATCGTCAACCCTCTTTCCTGACACGGAGAGGAAATAAATAAGGTATCGGGTCTCTTGGTCTTACGACCTTCAGTTCAAGCTGATGGTGATGATGATGACATGCTTTGAGCTCAGAGAGTGTGAGGATGAGGGTCAGAAGGCAAATGACTGACGAGGAAGCGACGGATCATCTCGAAGCTGGTGAAAGTGATAACGGCAGCTGGGGTGGTTCTAAGAAGGTTGGTGGCACAGCCTCTGTAGAAACCCGACAATCCGTCCTTCTGGAACACCTTCTTGATGCAGTCCCTTACTCCTGTGTAGCGTTTTTCGCTGTGGTGGCCTTGCTCTTGCAGCCTTGCTCGCACAACCTGCTCCATTTAAGTCATTCTTGCTTAGGGAACAGTCCAAAACACGGATCCAGGTCTACAAGTACAACCAAATGATGATGGGACCAGCTGTAAAACATGTTGACCCATTTAACAAGTTTTTTGTTTTTCAGAAGATAGAGCGGTACCCATTTTCAGACAAGCCAAAACCAAGGAGATGAGCATATTTGTTTTCATTTAAACATATAGTTTAATGGAATGGGAAACAGAGAATGTCAAGAAGTGGAATTGTTTTCGACATAATACCTCGTGTGGGTAGGTTAATGTGGAAGCAAATATCTTTGCAATCGATGAGGCCACTGCTACATCGCGGGCACTAAGTTTATCCGTTGTTGTATTACCTGCCAGAAACCAGATTCAGTTAAAATCCAAAATATTTCACCTTTTCTTGCCTATGCTTTTTTATTCCAGGGATATAAGGAGAACCTTTCTTAGCCAAATAGATTTTGATCTTCTCATACGTGGGGAACTGAATGGCTACATGACTGATACCGGCCAAAGCAGGCACAAGACCACTGTTGCTCATACAAAGAGAAACAGACATTAACAAAGGCATTCAACTGACAACAGAGAAAAGGTTACGATGTTATAACGCAAAATAAAAAACCTGTATAAGCCACGGATTCCTTCCTCGTGAGCTATTCTCCTCAAGGCAGATAGTGTACTTTTGTATGGTACCACACCTGCTCTCATTCCCTGGGTCTGAGAAAAAGGGAAAATAATACTCAGAAAAGAGCTGTATCACTAACTATGGCTTCAAAGAGAACTGAGCTGGCATTCAAAAACATAAAGGGTATGAATATTCTACCAACATGGTATGACAATTTACTAAACAAACATGCAGCAAACAAAAGTTGGTCTTTCATATAAAACGCTGCAGAACTTGGTTGATTCTATCATGGTACAGATTTGCATCTCTGTTACTTAAGAACTAGATGTAAGGTTCAATACTGTATTACTTTTGTCTGAGTCTTGACATCTAAAATTCAATCAAAACAAGGGCAGTTTCCAGAGACTTGACCTAGCCAATATCTTATCATTTACATTGCAAGCTTGATTCACATGATTGCACATATCAAGCAAGAACAATAGCTCATCACAGAAAGCAAACCTGAAGTCTAGTCTTCACAACCCAAAGAGGATTGGTGGCAATTGTAGTTGCAGCTCCAGCACCAGAGGCAGCTATCATGTTAGCGCCAACACTAAGTTTGTGGTCCTCGTCTATATATGAAGCAAAAACAATGAATGATAAACAGGATATCCATCCAGAAAGGTTGAAACAAAAAAGCAATGACAAACAGGATACCTATCCATAAAAGGTTGAAAACCGAGAAATAAAAAGCACAAACTTTACTTCTAAAATCAACATAAAAAACAAAGCAGAGCAGATGAGCTCGTAGACTAACCATTTGAACAGAGGAAGCTCTTGAGCTGGTCATACATTGTAAAATAAACCTGTCAACATAATACAACCAGTTAATACCAGTTCAGTTAAAACAACCTACTTCCTCTAGATACGATTTCAAGGCATAGGGAGAGGAAATAAGCAGATTTCGACAACATAGGTAACCATGGCAAACGAAAACCATAAATATAAATCTAGAAGAAGCATAACACACCGCCCAATTCGGGAGAAGCGCCATCACTGATGGTGAAAGCCCACGGTATAAGCCACGCATCCCTTCTTTCTTAAAAATATGCTCCAGACTACCAACAATCAAACTACCTGATTGAAAGACAATACAAATTGAGATTGGTACAAGAAACTTATGGGTAAGAAACAATCCTCAGCAACAGAACATATTTTCTAACCAAGATAACATGAACTTGTGGGTAAGAAAAAAAAAACAACCTTTGACGCTTCCATCGCCAAGCTTTGGCAGCCCATGAACCTGAAACCTCGTCTTTATAACATCCAGTGGACATACAAACGTAGCGGCAATAACCCCTGAATCGAATTCAAAGCATCATCCAATCAGGCAAACTTCAATCTTAAATCATCGAAATAGGCTGAGACTTTCGATCAAATTATGATTAAGTTCTGCAGCCAACTACAAAAATTCCTGCCAAACAAGAGAAATCGGCAAGATTGGAGAGAAGAAATCAAATACCAGCGGCGGCACCGGCGCTGGCATTGCACAGGAGGCCCATGGGACTAGGGCCATGAGAATCGCCGGACATCTCTGCGATCTGAACGAAGAAGAGCCTGAAAACGCGCGAAGAATTTAACCGAAGAGAACGACAAGAAGGTTTCCTCTCGCGAGAGAGATTTCGCTGCGAACCAGCGTCGCATTGCCGAGAAGAATCCCGCGACAAATTGCGCGACTTTGTAGCGGCCGAGTCGTCGTCGTCGTCGTCGTAGTACTGCCCGTACGCTAACTGAGCCAACCCGACGAGACAGGGTTTGTCGCAAATATCTCCGGACAAGGGCGGAGATCAACACGAGTCGATCGACGAGATCGAAGAGAATCGAACAGTCGACGAGGCGATGTTTGTTCTTGCGTGGGGAGGGGGGGGGGGGAAGAGAGGGAGGATGAGAATTAAAAGCTTTTCCCTTTTTCCTTTTATTTAATTATTTTTTATATGGCTCCTATTTTTTTTAAGTAAATACTAAAATTCAAAACTTCCTTTTCTCAGCCAGACGAATCAGAGCGAAGCCTCTGGTCCCACCACCGCATTATATAAAGTCCTCTCTCTCTCATCTTATAATATATATATATACATGTATGTATAATATCCAAATTTCAATGCGTGGTAGGTCCATTGAATGTGAAACTCATGCGAAATGCCTTTGAGATGACGAATTTTCTCTATATGTCAAGTTTCAATAGAGATAATCTCATATCTAGGGTATTTTCGCTAAATTCTTTATTGGATATAATAATCTTCAAAGATCATGTTTCGGCAGAAAAATTTAAAAATCTATCAACTTAGAAATATAAAATTTTACGGGATTCGATATTTTTTTTTTTGAAGATTTTCCTAGTTTTTTCACCGAAAAAATGTAAATTTTACTTCTTTTTTTTACAAAGTGAAATTTTACATTTTTTCTAGGATGGTTTTTTTGTTTTCGAGTGTTGTTGGGGGGGGGGGGGGGGG